AAGAATATTTTACCCTTACCCCATAAAAACCTTGTCCATTTTCAAGCATCTTTAGAGAGAATGCATTAGAATAGTCTAAATAATTTTCCAACTTGTCCTCTAGCCACCCTACTCCTGACATAATATTGAGCCTTTGAAAAATACCTATAGGTATAAAGTCTTTCAACTAAAACGGTCCTTCATGAACTGTCATCATGAATTGGTCTGAAAGTTGTTTAACTCACATAGCTTCCTTGAATGGTAATTTCTGAATAGAAAGATTCTCGCAAAAAGATTGTGTATTGCATTGAGATGTCTTGCAAAGTTGCAGTAAGATATGTAAGAGTGCTCTCTGTGAAGATAGTGAAGTTTGTGGGTTCTGGTTTTATGTAATTTGGTTAGGTTGTGCAGTATATCCATTGTTTCTGTGTTACTCTTATGAGCATGAAATTAGACTATTAAATTTGTATTTTCTTGGTACTTATTTTAACACCATAGTCATTGACTTTACAATTCAAAAATAAAAGTTTGGCAAGACTATTTTGTAAACCTGTTAATTTTATAATGTAAAAAAATTACTCTAACCTTGAATTGTTATTTGCACTTTCATAGTCTATACTTGATACATTCCCACTTTATATACAGGTAGGATACTACAACCATGTAGATGTTTGGCCAAATGAATGCTGTTAATAATATGTAAAATTCTTTGATTAAACATTTATTACTTAAACTAATTCCGTTCTGTCTCATTTCATCTTAGACTTAATGTAGGATATCCTTGAGACTGCTGACAGACATTTTTAGGGTATGTTCAGTACTGTGCCAGATTAGTTGGACACCATGTAGTAAGCTGAATGTTTTGATACGTAAATACAGGGGACCATCACTAAGCTTTGAAAAAAATATACAATAGAATTTGTCTTAATTGCTACAGACATATTGTGCACTTGTTCTTTGTAGAGTGATGCCTTGTCACTATGAGTAGTGGTGCTAAAGAGGGGGGGCTAATTTTTGTGAAAGATTCTGTTAATTAGTGTTACTTAAGTGCCACTTAATATCCACTCTGGAAATTCCAGAGTGCCTCTGTTACATTAGTAGCACTAAACTATTTTGTTCATTGTTACAGTTACATCATCAACTTCCTCCACTAAGCATGCCAAGATCATGGAATCACAGACTGGTTTGGGTTGGAAGGGACCTTGAAGATCATTTTGATCCAATCCCCCTTCCATGAACAAGGACACCTTTCACTAGACCAAGCTGCTCAGAGCTCTATCCAACCCGGCCTTGAACGCTTCCAGGGATGGAGCATTCCCAACTTCTCTGGGCAACCTGTTCCAGTGCCTCAGCACCCTCACACAAGGCATCCCACTGTAATAGTCAGGGAGGGTGGTGAGAAGCCAAAACATGGACACAGTAATAGCCAGTTTCTTTACAAGCAATTGTCTGGCTCAGGAGACAGCTTCAACATGCCTTGAAAGAACCAAATACTCATGATCATTTTATGTCATCTCTGTCATTGCTTTACCTACCCATGTCCCTCACGAGGGCCAAAACCCAAAAACCTCACAAAATCCAGGTGAATTCCTGGCTCTAGTACAAGCTTGAATGAGTAATTAAGACCCAAAAGCTGCAAAGACAGATGCATGTTACTTATGCGAGTAATAACTGTGTAACACATCTCAAGATTAACATCAGTTGTGGCCCAGGGAATTAAGGGAATAAAAACTGCTTTTCTCAAAAGAAAGCTGTTAAGTACAGAACCTTAGAACATAACCATGTGGAAATCCAGAGTGCACCAATCCATCAGATTTATACCCAGTTTCATGCATTTACAACACAAATATTTCTGGAGAAGCAGTCCATGTGCATCCTCTGCAGCTGACTGTGGAACAGTGACACACACATAAGAATAAAGGATTCTTCAGCTGTGAGCCAGCTGACTGTAGGATAGCAGTAAGAAGCTAGGAGGAAGCAATGCAATTAAATCCACTGCAGAACAATTCAACTACTGAAGCAGGAAATGAGCAGTATGTACGGATTTGCATCACTTCCAATAAAAACCATTCTCACTGAAAGCTCCTGGGGAGAAAGAGTTCTACTGACAGCCAGTGTGCCTGCCACAGTCCCCATCCATAGGTGGAACCAACATTTTATTTCCTCCACTTCTTTGTCGAGTCTACATTGGAAATTTCACAGACCAGGGACGGGCTCTGATGACTCCCAAGGGCAGCCCTTTCTTTTACTGCGGGAAAAATAAACTGAAAATACACATTAACTGGAAGAGAACTTTTACTCTGCAACTTTAGCTGAGCTTACACAGCACAAAATGCCTCAGCTGCATCAGGCACTTCCAGTCAGGCCTCAGACAGAGTCAGCCCACTCCAGCTCCAAAGAGAGGCTAGTTCTGTTAAGGAGAATCAGGAAACTGAAGAGGATGCTCAGAATTTGGGATTGACGTTGTAAGGCTTGGGATCCTCTGGAGAAGAAGGTACTTAAGTAAAGTCCTGAGCCCCACCTCTCCTACCCATAACTACCAGGTATTCAGCAACTCTCAGAACATTTCAGCTATTGCCCAAGATAGCTGACATGCTGGGTGTAATTTCTGACAAAACATCATAACCACTGTTCTTTGTGTCACCTTCCAGGTGAGGTAGGGATGAACAAACTGCACTGACAGCAATCCCTGCCTCTGATTTTGCACAAGGCCAACAGAATAATCATACCAAGAACACTGTAATCTCAAGGTGTTGTTTTACTCTGGTTCTATTGAACTGACAGAACCACACTTGTCAAGAAATAGTAAACTAAAACTTTCTGACAACATAAAAATGGTTGTCTAAACCAGTTTTTAATTATCTTAAACTACCACCACAGATTACGTTTCTTAAAGATTAAGCTTTATTCATTTGGATTTTTTAAATTCAAGTTATTATTTAAAAGCAGAAAGAATAATCACAGTGGGTAATTTATCAACAATATACAGTAGCATATTAAGAGTATTCACATATATGTAAACCACACATATTCTATATTTGTGACAGAAAAGACCCTGCACATGATTTCATAAAGATCAAGGGGTTAGCAGTCTGGAGTCAGGAAGATGGTAGAACTGGAGTAGAAAAAAACAACTATTGCAATTTTTATTTGCTCTCCATTAACAATAAATATTATAATAAACTCACAAAAACTTTCACAAAGTATTGGATACTTACCTCGACAGAAATGGACATTGTCACTCATTTCCAGCCCATTTCTACACAGACTAGTGAAGCTCTGCCAACATGATGGCAGTCAGAGGGGCCCAGACTCCTGAGGTGGGTGGTTGGGAACAAAAGCAGGCAGACGCTACAAAAAAAAAGTGGGAAGAACTTAAGGGCTCTGAGAGATCACTGATCTGCAAAATACAACTACAGAGAGATGCATTAAAGAAACAGAAAACAAAACAAAACAACAACAACAAAAAAAGCACCCGATAAGTATAAACAGCTTGAAAAGAGATGAGGGCAAATGAAGATTTAAATCAAAATTGAGGAATACATTTGGTGCCTGAGACAAGAAAGTCAAACTTGGCATGAAAGAGGCATGCAAGAGGTTAAACGTAGCTGTCTGTGAGCCAGTAGCAACACAGGCACACCCTGCATCCACTGCATGCTGCATGAGGGGAACATGTATTAATAGATTCCTGCAAATTATGGCTCTTTGTGTCCACTGAGGACAAGACAAAAATCAATTTCATTTGCACCAAAGAAGCTTTAAATAAACTGAATATGGGAATTAAAATACTGCAAATCCTCATGCATGACTGGGCATTTCTTTCATAATATCCGACTAGAAAAACATCTACAAGGGATGGCCCATGGCCACGTGAGTGGCAGTAGGTGAGGAACCACTATTAGATCCATGGTTCCTACTACATTTGGTTCTCAAAGCTTCACAAAGGCACATGTTCATTCCCCAGCCTTTTAAACTACTTGATACGTAACTGAGGCTTCATGCAAGAGGGGCATAGAATCATAGAGTGGTTTGTGTTTGAAGGGGACTTTGAAGATCATCTAGTTTTAACCACCCATGCCATGGGCAGGGTCACCTTCCATTAGAGCAGGTTGTTCAGAGCCCCACCCAACCTGATTTTGAACATTTCCAGGGATGGGGCATCCACAACTTCTCTGGAAAGCCTGTTCCAGTGCCTCACCACCTTCCAAGCAGAGGATTTTTTCAAAATATTTAATCTAAATGAAGGCAAAAACTGGCATATGTTGAGGTTAACATTCACCAACCCTTTCTTCTGAATCAGGACAATCATTGCAGTCCATCTCCTGTCCCCTGATTTTCTGTTGAGCCAGAAGAGTGACAGCTGTAAATCCTTGAATGACAGCACCTGGCATCCCCTGCAAACAGCAACAGCATCAGAGGTGGCTTCTGCAGCACAATGTTAAGGGTTGGAAGCTACCTTAAAGATCATCTAGTGGCAGCCCCCCTGCCATGAGCAGGGACACCTCCCACGACACCAGGTCTTACACAGCAAAGGTCTTACCCAGCACAGTTTTGAATGGTTGAGGCATTCACAGCCTCCCTGGACAACCCGTTTCAGTATGTCACCACATGCACAGTAGAGAATTTCTTCCTAATATCTAATCTAAATGCTCCGTCTTTCAATTTGTACCCATTCTCCCCTGTGCTGTTCTGCCACTGCTGTTCCTGACAGAGTCCCTCTGCCTCCCCCGGACGTTCCCTTCAGACGCTGAAGGTGCTGCGAGGTCTCCACACGACCTTCTCCAGGCTGACCAGCCCCAGCTGCACCATCGGGGCCGCCCGTGCCCGCCTCCGACCCCGCCGGCACCGACAGGCCAGCGCTCTCCGCGCCGCGGCCCCGGCCGAGGCGGGAGCAGCCCCTGAGCGGGCCGGGCCCGCCCGTCCCGGGCCGGGCTCGCCGCCGCCAGCAGAGGGCAGGCCCGGCCCCGCCGCTCCCGGCCCGCCGCTCCCGGCCCGCCGCGCCACATCCGCCGCCGCCGGGAAGCGGCCGGCGCCGCGCTCCCGCCGCTCGCTGTCGGGCCCGCGGGCCCCGCGCCGGCCTCAGCATGCCGCTGGGGCTGAAGCCCACCTGCAGCGTGTGCCGCAGCACGTCCTCTTCCATGTGGAAGAAGGGCGGGCAGGGCGAGATCCTGTGCAACAACTGCACGGCCCGCTCGGCGCCGCCGCCCCCCGCCGCCTTCGCCACCACCTCGGCGGCCGCCGCCCAGCACAGCAACAACGGCGGCGGCGGCGGCGGCGGCGGCAAGCAGGTCAGGAGGCCGAGGGCGACGGTGGCGGAGCCGGCGGGGCCGGGCGGGGCCGGGCGGGGCTGCGGCCGGGGTGCTCGGGCCGTCCCCCTTGTGTTCATCCCGCTGTTCCCCGCAGAGCAAGCAGGAGATCCACCGCCGCTCCGCTCGGCTCAGGAACACCAAGTACAAGTCTGCGCCCGCCGCGGAGAAGAAGGTTTCCACGAAGGGCAAGGGCAGGCGGCACATCTTCAAACTAAAAAACGTAAGGCGGGGCCGCGGGTGGGTCGGGAGCCTGCCCCAGGCTGGGCTGGACATGGAGCCCGCGGGAGCAGCGGGAAGAGAAACCGGTCAGGGAGTTCAGCACTCGCTTCTCCACATAAATCCTGGAGAGGGAAACGTCAGCTCTGTTGCTTTGAGCTTTAAAGTAGAAGTGTTTGCTAGTTTTCTTATGTATCTGTATGTTATCTAAAAGAAAAATCCATTTCTGGAACTTTATGGTTTATTTGTTTTAATGCTTTTGATTTTCTGTTTCTGTATTCTTTTCTTAGCCAATCAAGGCTCCTGAGTCCGTATCCACTATAATTACAGCAGAATCAATCTTTTATAAGGTATGGTTTATGCAAATCTATTTGCAAAAATTATTATCCTGTTTCTGTTTCCAATGTTAGGAATTATCATGGACAGTGAAAGCACTAGAGATATAATCACAGAAACTGTTCTTCCTTGCCTAACAGTTGTGTAGGATTTTGGTTTGCCATAGTTATTGCCATTAAGTCTTGCAAGGTAGTCTACCTAAGTTTAAATAGTTGCCATTTTCCCAGGTTTTTCTCTTCCAAGCAAAAGTACTTTTTTTTTTTTTTTTTTTTTTTTTTTTTTTTTTTTTTTTTTTTTTTTTTTTTTAAAAATTTTTTTTTTTTTTTTTTTTTTTTTTTTGGTAATTATTGCTGTCAGCATTTTTAAACTTAACTTGCACTGTGCAGAGGTCAGGTGACTAGAGACGATTATTTAGATTTGTTTGATATTTGCTGTCTTAGGTGCAGAATATATTTCGCATAGAGGTGGGGTTGCAGTGCCCCAGTATCTCAGCTGGCTCCCATTTGAGAGCTGGTGCAAGCAGTCTCAGACACCCTGGGAACAAGATCTGTTGGCACTTGCAGTGAAGCAAGAAGGAGCCTTCTCACGTTCATGCTTGAGAGCAGCTTTACCAGCATGCCAAGGTGTTGGTATTCTAAAGCACTCAAATTTGCTTTTGTTTCCCAGCAGTATAAGCAAACAGAATGTTTTTTCACCCTCTTCCTCTCCAAAAAAGTCAGAATAGGCAGTGGGAGACTACACAGCCAGTGGTGGTGTGAGATTCCATATACTCTCCAGGGACCTGATGTTTCATGCCTGGCATTCCAGATGAATCTCGTTTGCTTTTGACCAGTTCAGAAAAGAATTACTGTCATGTGTGTCTGTTTTTATCAGAAATTCCTAAGAACTATGTCAAAATTTCTGTTCTCATTATGTAGAACATTGCTACTTTGATACTTTGCAGTGTTGTTGTGAATAAGTTTGTTTGGGATTGTTTGTGTTCTTTTTATATGTTTTGAAAATAACCACCTTTCTTTCTTGTGCTACCATTCTTTAGCATGTGGCTAAATTGAAGCTGCCTTTCAAGAGTGGAATAAATTAGGATAATTTAGAGTACTGCTACTTAATATATGAATCAGGATGTGAAGCTGACAAAAATCAGGTTGTTTGATTTCAGTGCCATTTGTATGTCTTCTAGGGTGTATACTACCAAATTGGAGATGTTGTTTCAGTGGTTGATGAGCAGGATGGAAGAACATACTACGCTCAGATCCGTGGGTTTATTCAGGACCAATACTGTGAAAAGAGTGCTGCACTAACCTGGCTCATTCCTACCCAAGCCAGCCCCAAAGACTGTTTTGACCCAGCATCCTACATCATAGGTAATCTGTAAGCCTTCACGTCATGCAACTACTTGGATGTGCCTATGCTAATGCAGAGTTGTATTTTTTAAATCAGCATTTTAGCTTCTCAAGGTATTTTATGCAAGTTCCACATTTTAGACTCTAATCTTGTAAACATCTCATTTACTGTAATAAGACTTTTTATTTATCTTGTGTATATAATATGATTACCACTATTGTAGTGTGTGATTATCTGAGTGTTTGTGGGTAGAATTACAGTTGTGCATCTTTAAGGATCAAATTATTGATTACTATTATTACTATTATATTATTATTATTTATTATTATTATTACTGTTATTACTATTGATTAAACTATTACTACTATGTTTAAACCATAGTAACTTTGATTCTGATATACTAGTCCAAGTTGCTTATTTTAAAGTGACCTGAATTACTTGATCTTTATCCTGGGTATTCAAAATACATAGCACCAGCATAGAGACTGTTCTGCTATTGATGATAAAATTAGGAATTCAGAAAAGTCCCTCTAACAGGCAGAACACAAATAGAATGTATTTTAAATATGTTAACTACAATAGTCCACTCAAATACCAGAATGCTTCAAATGGGATGGGGGGGAAGATCAGCCCAGCAAAATTAAAGGTAGAGGTTTATTGCCTAAAACAGGAGGAAAGTCATGGATTTCAAGGGCAAGCTCTGTAAGGGAATGTTGGCTGTTGTGGCATATTTTTATTCAACATACTTAGTTTTATGTCTCCAAGTTATGTCTTTGAATTTTTTTTCTAGGACCAGAAGAAGATCTCCCAAGGAAAATGGAATATTTAGAATTTGTTTGTCATGCACCTTCAGAATATTTCAAATCTCGATCATCTCCCTTCCCTACTGTTCCTACAAGGCCAGAGAAAGGCTATATATGGACTCATGTGGGACCTACTCCTGCAATCTCCATTAAAGAAACTGTAGCCAATAATTTATAGTTTTCAAGGAATACTTTGGACTAGTTCTTTTCTTTGTATCCTCCAATTTGTAAACACCTTACAAAAAGTTTTAAAAATTATAAAATGTGCCGGGTTTTTTTAAGGATTATGGTATTTATTTTTTTCAGATGTATCAGACCTTTGAAGTGAAAATTTTCATTCCAGTTGATGCATCATTTCAGTGCTTTGCTCTTCAGAAATTATTGCTGATCTTGGGACAAAACCAGAAGTTTCATGTCATCTTTGATGTCTGTAGCATTCATTCTTACTTTTTAAGTTATTTTCCAGAAGAGGAGTTTAAAAGATACAATCATCCAGCATTTTATATAACTGTTTAATTTAGTTAACTGTGACTGCTGGTTTTTGTAAAATAATTTAAGACTAGCTTCACCTAAATCCTGAAATGGTCAGTGATGCAGTTAAGTTTTCTGTTACATGGAGAGAAGTGATCTTCCTGGATTTCTGCAGACTGAAACCTCATCTGCAAAGAGGGACGCTAACAGTCACCTTTTATGGAATTTTGTTGATCTGAATCTGAAATTGGCCTATGTGTGTAGCTTTCTGCTAAACTTACTTATATAAGGGCATAAATTTCCTGGAAAATTTGATGCAAATTCAAAAATTAATGTTATTTGCCATCCTGGCATCCTCATGGCAGAAGTGTATTTGCATTTCCTGAGCAAGCCAACACTGACACATGATTTGAGTTTCAGACTGTTAATATTTGTTTGCTTGTTAGCTTTAGATTTTAAATTGTTTTTTCAGTCTTCACAATTAGTGATGGTAAGAAAAAAAAAAGTCAGGCAATTAAAATGAAAAATCAGTAAGGGAAATAAAAATTAATTAATTTTATGTATTGACAGTCTCAGCATGACAAGGAATGTGTATAAACAGCAGAATGGGAGCAATGCCACATACTAAAATACCAACGAAGTTTTCTGCCCTAAACTTTTTACAAGCCATTCAGCTCCAAACACAATGAGATGTGCTTGTATGGTTTGAATTCCAAGGGTATTGTATGAAAGCATGAAAATGTTGCACTAGGCTTATATTCTAACTTTATGAAAGGCTTTGATTTAACACGTAACATTTGAAAGTCTCAGGTATTGACAACTTTTAATACAGTGGGACCTGTGAGGGCAGGAACCAGACAGATTTGTTTCAGCCTGCAGCCTCTGTTCTGCCCTCTTCAAATACAAGGAAGAACAATCAGCCTTAGGGGAGTAGATGCTAAAATTAAGGGATACTGTCAACAATTCAAAATGCTCAGGAATTAGCAGTAGATCGGTAATACAGAGTTAAATCTTAGTCTTCAGTAGCTTAGAAAGATGAGATGTGTGCCTATGTTCCATGTGTTGCATTGATTAATCCCAAATTGACATCACTTCTCTCCATTCTCTCCTTTCAGTTTCTCTGTGTTTTTTCTTCTTATTTCTTTATTAACAATTACAAGAAAATAAAAATAACAAGTCCTATATTTACAGTAACCAGAGTGACTCCCTTGACTCAAATCTTTGACTTCCTTTCACTGCAGTCCACAAGGTTTTCACTTGGGATCACTCTAAAATCCCTGTGCTGCCTCAGCATAATCCATGGACCTGTCTTCTTCTGTGGGCTGTCTTACCTTATATGAATTACCAGGGTTGGAAAAGGCCTTGATGGTCATTGAGTCCAATGAAGCTTAGTTCATTGTCAAATCCTCATAGGAATAACAATGCTCTACATGGTTTTGATTTTTTGAGTTCCTACAAGGAACTCAAACCAAATGAAAAGTACTTTTTGCCATTTGCCTTATTTGTCAATAAATTGTAATATAAAAGGGAAAATTACAGAATATACCTTTCTAAAATTCAGTGCTGCTGTCAATTCAAGTATTATGGTTCCAACTGCAGTCTAAACAGACAAAAATATTTTTTTTCAGAGAGCTATAGAACAACTTCCTTTAGTAAACACTAAGTACTTTTATTTTAGTGTAGTTTTTATTATACTAGGAAATGTTAAAAAATAATTCAGATTAACAAGAATTCTGAGTGTAAGGTCTCAAAAGAGACTGGATCTGCAGGCAATGACTGTTACTAAAGTGTTAAACTTCATTTTTAGGTATTTGAATGATTGCACTGTCTTGTTTTTCTTGTGTTCAGAACATCACCCAGTAACACAGGGAGAATGATTGACTCTCCAGACAACTTCTTATGGATGGACACAGCTGAAGAGTGGGACCTCCAAGAGCAACATATCTGAAAATTCTTCATCTCTCTCATATTAGGAAAATGGAGGACAAAATGAAGACCAGCAAAATGGACTCAACAGCAGAAAGAATATCAAAGGATCCTGTAGGGACAGGCTTTGATGCCCTGCAGCTGAGGGAGCTGAGCTCACCCATTTCTGTCTTCTAGCTTGGTAATTCCCCATGCCAAAAAGTAGGTAGGTTTCATATTTGTATCACTGGACTGTGAGTGGATACATTGCCACTGAATTTACGGCCTTGTGTTGAGCTCCAGAGTTTTGTGACCAGCCAACGGTAATTTTCATCAAGGCATTTTAATTCTAAAGATATAACTTGTAGCCAAGACCTAAAAGCCACAGAGCATATATAAAATACTGAGTACCACAATAGACACGTGGCCTGTGCCCTGAGGCACACATTGCAAGACATTTGTGGGAGGAGTGCCCTTAACTTTCACATGAACTTTACTGTACCAAAACAATACTTGCTGGAGAAGGGTTTCCTTTTGGGCAATGGCTTTGTTGGGAGCCGAATACTTTCTGGGAAAATATGATGCAAACACAATGGATAAATAAGTATGCAGCTCCTTGAGCTCCTAAAATGAAGCTGGGGTTCCTCTCTTGCTGCTGTGCTGTGCTACATGGCAATCATCTCAGTCATCCTGCAGAGGCTGGATTAAGTGCCTGCAGCTCAATATCCAAGCCAGTGCAATAGCTTTGCTTTCATGTAATGCAGCCCTCAACTTTAACATTAATATTATACAAGAAGCAAAACATACATTTATTGTGGTTGGTGGTATATGATGTATTATGATTAATAAAGGCCTTAAATAGCCTTGCAGAGCTGAGAACAAAAATATTAATAGGTGTAGTATTGAAGTTTCAACTGCTCTTTACAGTTACTGAATTAGAAAGACAAATTACAATTTTATTCTGTTTTCACACAGTTAGATTTGGTACATCTGTTAGGAGACTACAAAATTATGGAAGATGAACATTATATGCCCAAGCAGAAACACTTTTACAACAGTTCATAGTTGTTAATAGTTCTTTTTGTGTGCTCCCCACTACACAATCTCATGATCACTGACAACAGTATTTTGTATTTGGCAATTGTTTCTCTTTCACCCACACAGTCACGCTTACTTTCAGGAAGACTACTTTACTTTTTTTACCCAGCCCTTCTAGTTGGTGATTTGTTATTCTTGAATTTGGCCTACAGCTTCTTTTCTAGTTTGGTAGCTTCAATCACAAGAACAGATTCATGGACAACATCTACAGGTGGTTCATGCATCTTTATGAAATGCTTAAAGTGCTTCGATGTCTATTTAATCAAACAGAAGTATTACTGGAATCTAGTTTTGATAGAAGGTTGTTTTATCCTGAACATATCAAGACTCTCCTGTGCAGGGCATTTAGACTCAGAACAATTAACCCAGGCACCTGTTTACATATGGCAACTGGGCTCCTGCAACGCCTTTTGAACTCCTTCATTTAGGGAGAACAGCGCAGGAGTATTCCTCTTTTCTCATGAAGCTGTCTAGAGGCAAAGTTGTCTCAGTAGTTCCACCGGTCTTCCTACACTCCATCAGTGTCCATGGGCACTTCTTTGCTGAAGGCCATCACACCTCTCTGCCTTCATCAGTGTAAGGTACCCTGTTGTAAACTGCCTCTGTCAACTGATCCAGGATTGAAACACACAAAATACCTTTCCTTTTAACACAAATCTTCCCCTAGGGAACTTGGATAGGAATGTTTAGTTTTGTATTCAGATGGTCATACCTTTGATAATAATCCTTCTCAGTGTATGTACAATTCTATGCAATCAATGTTCCCTTTCTTTGCAATTAGGTTACTTTTGTATAAAATTACACTGTAAGGCTGCTTGTGGTAGTGAATCTGAATTATGTAAGCAGAATTTGGGAACCTCTTCTCTCCTAAGCCTAGATTTGATTTCAGTAGGTCATTAAGAAGTAAAGCAAAGAGTAACCTGTCCTTTTAATCCGTGTGCCCTTTTCAGGTATCTATTTCCCAAATTGTGGGAATCCACATACAGAATTTTCCACTTAACTCTCCTTAAGGAGTTTCTTGGAGCATTCTTAAGGGCTCTTTTTCTAAGCTATGTCATAACAGACCACTCCTAGGCAAAGTAAAAGACTTGTCTCTTTTTTATGAGAAGCTGATTGCAAACTGTGGAGGAAATGGGAGTAGCTTTGGCATTTATTTTTGGCCAAAACAAAACCAAAAGGAACCACTTCACGACTGCAGAGTTTGCAGAGCCTGACTGTGGCTTAATTGCTGCATTGGTAAGTGGAAATGATATGTTGAAACTTAACATATCCATATAAGGTTATACAAAGGAACAAATACTGGGACAATGCCAGGGACACATATTGCAATGTACTTTCTTGGTGGGCTTTCTAGTCAAGCTTAACCCAGCAGCTACTGAATAAGTTGAGACCATCAGGAAAGAAGCATCCACCTCAGCTTTTAGTGGCCAGTAATATTTTTTACTCCAAGGTCAAAGATAGAAAAAAAGTAAAAATGTCTCTTCTAGAAAATTACTGGAAAAGACAGTGCAAGATCTGGGAAAAATCTGTTTTAAAAAAATCTCTTGTCAATTTGGTTTTACCCACCCACATTCCTGCCATCAAGGAGTGGCATGTGTGACAGGCTGTTTGTTTCTGATATCCCCAGTTCTGCTCTATCCATGCAGTGGGATCTAAACAGCACATAACATTTGACAGCACACATGCAAGAACAGCAAGGAGTTTTTTGAAGGAATACTTTCTGAAGTCTCTGTTTCTTCTCTAATAACTTCTAACATTCAAATTCCTCTTAACAACAGGCTGGTGTTTAATGGGGGATAATCACTGAGGAGTAACAAGCACTAGACCCTATCACATTATTTTTTCTTTCCTTTAACAAGACATTTAGTCTGCCAAGTACAGTCAAGTTTTGTGAACGTCTTCTGTAGCATTTTATTACCAACCTTTGTTTTTCACAGGCCTGAAAAGCTCACTCAACAGGGGTGTTTTGCTGGTGGTGCTGTTTCACTGTTCAGTCCCTGTCAAGGTCAGATGAATATGTTGAACATCACGGGTGTGTTCTCCACAGCACTGGTGTTACACACTTGCAGTGCTGGGGCACAAGCTCTGGGCTGGCCAGTACAAGGCATGGATGTACTGAACAAGTCCAGCAAAGGGCCTCACCTGTGAGTGGGAGACTGGAAATACAAGGAGAGGGTGAGAGCTGGGACTGTTCAAAATGCAATAAAGATCACTTGGTGGGGGAGGGAAACTTACTGATGTGTCTAAATACAGGATAAAAGTATTTATCAAAAGCAGAGATCCACAGCAAGACAATCCTACTGAGCCCCTATTTCTGCATTCTGTTAAATTTGGAGTTCTAGTTTCCTCTCACCAAACCTAAATAGTGGAGCAACACAGGGAATTAATTCTGCAAATACTTAAAAAGAAAACAAATCAAAAACAAAGCAAAAGAAGTCCCCATACAATGCTGTCAATCGAGTATACATTACAGAACTCAAAGGGTTTTTCAATAGTTAATGTATGAAAATGCTATCCAATGAATACAGGCACACGGAAATAATCTGAAAGGAAGCCCAGAAGCCAAAATTAAATGCCTCTTCAGTACTCAGCATGCATATACAGAAAGGTGTATCAAATATTTGAGAGATGTATATGTTTAGACACAGCTCAGGAATATAGAAAAACATTTTGCCAGTTACAAAAGTTCAGCAAGATTTGAATATCACCTGATTCAGTATTTTCAGTATTCTGATTAAAATATACAGTCCATAATACATTGTAATATGCACAACTCTAGCACAAGCTTTGAAGACTTTAAACTTGAAGCATGAAGTTGCTGTACGACTACATGCTTGGGATAAACTTGAAATTAAATAATGATGTTTTGTCTCTACATTTTTCATGTTTAGAAAACCTCACCCACTGCAAATTCTCACTCCACCCAAGATTCCCACAAATTACATTATTTGCAAAAATAACTCCCAAGGAACTCCAGGAAATAAAAGTTCACTTATGAGGAGGCTCTGACACTTACTTTCCCTGCCATGTGCAATGTCTTTGAGTGTTAATGAGTACTGTCAGCAGGAACTTCTCAAGCACTGAACTTCCTGTGTATTGCCTTTGATTCTACAGGAAGCAAATACCTGAAAGAAGATAACATTAAAAACAATGGCATTTCAAACAGCTGTTCCACAGCATGCCTTGCATAAGAGCATATTTAGAGTATGTGACCTCTGACATATCCTGAGCAGAAAATAGGGATTGAGGCATTATTTCTTTTTCATAGAATCAGCTGCTGTGGGATGGCAGTTTCTCAATTGCTATTCTAGCCTAGTTCCTCCATCTATTTATGATATTACACGTACCCAAAGAACCAGTCTGTAATATTATTAATGAGAACATTTTCAGCTCCAGAAAGCTGAAAAACGTGGAGATCTCTAAAGAGATAATTTGGTCCATTATCCACCCTGACAGGCAAAGGGACAGCAGGGAATCAAGTCCTGCTTCCCTCTGCTAGGATCAAACGGGAAGAGTTTGAATGCTCAGGCTCCCACGGTCTGACAAAAGCACAAACAGTGTTTAAACACAAGCACAACATTGATCAAGCAATTAGAACAACTTCAATATAGCTAAGAAAAAATGTTATGCACATATTTGTCTGTATCCAAAATAGCCAGTTGTTTGTCATTTTGAAAACTGACCTTTTTAAGTGACCTTCCTTGTAACAATGTGCTCTGTTGTTAAACCTTGTTTTCTGTCTTGGAAGAGGACCAAGAAATCTGTCTTGCTTCATGTTTTGAAACATCACTACCATCCATCATTGCCACATCTTAGGTAAAATGTTTTACTGTTTTGCCTGTGCTGCTTGTGCTATTGGATCTTTCACAAACAGCTGCGACAGCATTTATAATTTTCCATCAAGTGCACAGATCATGAATATCAAGACAATGAAATCAGAAAACATTTTAGTCTGAAATACTAGCAAGCACTATTTTGTGGACATTCACAAAACCAAACATTTCCATTGGGAAGAAAAGCAGTTTAAAGTACAGAGAAGAATGTGGAAAAAATTGGATGTGACAAGCAATATTGTTGTCCCTGGTTATGCAGTCCCAATCAGAATAGAATCACTGATTATGCTAAGTGTTTTGAATAAATGACGTTTCCCAAACTCTGGAAAAATTACATTTCAGATTTTTTGTTTGTTGACATTTTCTTCTTAGCTGTAACTGAGAAGAAACCTCTACAAAATCACATTACATGTTTCTTTAATTATCTGAGTAGGTTGTTACAGTAGCACAGTGTCTCTTCTCAGGGTCAGAACAGTATCTTGTTTACAACACTTTGAATTCATTACAATCTACAGAGAAAGAAACTTGGTCTTAAAAAACAGGAAATGTTCTTCATAACAGTTCTTCATAAAGTACAGGGAGTTTCTCTGAATTTTGTTACAGTGCCCAAATTATAAAATCAGCTCTTGTTGCTGTAGTTGGACCCACCTGGGTCACAAGACTGAAAATCTGCAGAGATGAAACTGTACTTCAATGCTGAGAACATATGCTTCTTGCAAAATAATAAGGAAAGCATGAAAATCTGAGATCTGTGTTATTTATACCTGCTTTTTAGTTCCCATAATGCAGCTTTAATTTTTCAGCTGTTAACTGGAAAGAGTGATTTTCTTCATCAGTCACCTACAGAAAAAAAATATCAGCAAGAATAAAAAGATTGAATTTTCAAAGATGGAACTAATGTTACACAACTTATGTGGCAAATACATCTTGCAGTGCTTGAGGGGAAACATTTGCAAACCAAATTTACTCATAGTATGACAAACTGAGAGCTGACAAATGTCAGTGCAGAACAGTGCCTGCACAGAATGAGTGCAATCCTACACATCTTATGACACCCCCCTGCTGCTGAGAAAATGATGGGCTGTCTCAAAAAGCACTGCATAGGTCCCATCTCTTCCCTTGGCCTCGGGTTGCAATTTCAGGTTTTTCTGAAAAGCCTGTGAATGTCTGTTAATGTACGTGAATGGTTCAAGTTCCATCTCACCGATGAAGGGCCTGTGAAGGGGCTGTATTCCACCCTATAGCCTTTTCTGGAATTTGTATCACCATAGCAAGGAGATGGAATAACATATCCACTTAAAACCATTAAGAATTGAAATGAACATTTCTCATAAGCATTCCTCCCTCTGCCTGCCTGCCTGCTCCAGCTGTTGGGGAAGAAGGAGCAGTGGGAGGGCTCTGCAGTGGCTCCCAACCATAGTCCCTTAGGACAGATCAACACTTCCTTGTGCTCCATGGTACAGGGGCCCTGCATCCCTAATGGACAGAGAGGAACAGCCCCGTGTGTCTCATGCTACCCCAGCACTCTGCCTGCTACCCACTGCAAGGGTTCTGCTTTAGACCCTATCCTCACCAAGACATGGCTCTGTCAGCAGGACCTGCAGGGCTGGACAGCTGCTGGGGAAGAACAAAGAGATCTGATCACCTAAACATGGGAAGAAGGACTAGGGTCAGTGTAGAAGCAGATGTTCATGTGAGGGAAGCCAAGACCTTTTTCTCCCTGTTTTCTCTCTACAGGATCTGCAGAAAAACAAGTTTCAACACGCTGACTTCAAGTGGGTTTTTTCCTACATCTGTGTTTTAAACCTGTCCTTAATGAAGGACAATTTGAGATTTTAAAGTAAAAAAAAATGTGTTTCAGACATTTAGAAAATGAAGAGGTTTTTAACTACTGGAAAAATGGCCATTAGAAAATGGGGATAAGACTTAGTTCATGGCAAACACTAAAACAGAAAACCACCAAATAGCTCCTGTTGTAGCCTATAAGTATCTAAACAAGGTCACAATGCTCTAGTTATAAAATAACTTCAGCCGTGCTTTGGCAATATACAAGCATTATATTAAAGTAATACGTATTATTAAGAAATAATTTTATTATTATTTCCTGAAACTTGACAATAATTATGGAAGTAGAGATTAGCACTAAATCTGTAATTTGTTCATCTGAAAGACCCAGTTACCTTCCCAACAGAAAACAGGCATAAAACCATGTAAATGGTTTTAATCTTCACAGTGCTAATGCTGGAATTACATAACTTAGCACTGATGGCATTTTGTGGGTGGTTCCAAACATTTTGGATTTTATTCTTTGCTTTTTATTCTACAAAGCTGCTGGTCTCTGGAAATAAGGGAAATTGCCCAACACTTGCATGACCTTAGTAACATCTGATGTACCAAAATCCAGTGTCAGTGTCCACACTGGGTCTCCACAATCTGTGCTGTAGCTGTGCCTACATAGGTACCAAGCATTCCTGCAGAATCCTAAAAACTGGTTAAACAGTGAAGAACGAGGTCATCTTTTTGTACTCAGGAGTCTCACACTGACTTTGTCCCTGAGATATCAGTCTTCACTAAATCATTTCAACTAATTCAAACTATTAAAGACTTTTGGAGGCTGGCAGGGGACAGCACAGGAGAGATGCACAGTCTGCCCTGGTTACCTAATAGCAGCTGACATGACTGCTGCTGTAGGACATTACAAGAAGGCCATATACACAAAATCTTACAAAAGCCCTACCCACTGTTAGAGGATAGAGAGAATTGATTTTTTTCCCACTTATTTTCTGTTAATATGACTTAAACTTGTGATCTAAACACCAGCAAACTGATTTAGCATTTCTACTACTGCCTGAGCATCTGGAAGTATTTAATCCTAGACCTCTTTGTTGCATCACTGCAACAGTGGGCTAAACCTTAGTCAACAGATTTCCATTTCACTGTGGTGCCTAAGACAGATTGCTATTATTTGGGCTATTTTAGAAATGGGAAAACTCAAGCAACTCAACCTGAAAGCAAGAATTCCCAAGGGGTAGCAATAAAGGAGTTATTCCCAAATAATGCCTTTCAGAGACAAGTAAATCCTTACCTGTCAAGTGACATTGACAAATTGTAACCCAGCCTCCCAATTTTGTTTCATGGGATTAACTCTGCAAATACCTGCTGAACTCATGCAAGAAACTCTGTTCTGCTTCTGGGCTCTTCAAAGTTCCTCCACAGCTTATGGATTTATGATTGTTATCTTCACTTCTTGGAAAGTAGGCTTCACTCCCACCCTAATGCATGAGCTTAAGAGCTATGAAATAATTAACAAGGAGTCAGATCCTCATGCAATGATACAGCATGCATGGATTTTACTGTTTTCACGATAACTAGGAGTTATTAAATAAATTAGGCAAGAAGTCAAATTATAAATTATATTAAGATTAAAAAGTCAATTATATATTTAAATAATTTATATATATATATATATATACACACACACAGTTAATTTGAGTAAAATAGCCTGTGAAGAAATGAAATTTATGCAATGCTTTTGCTTTTAAATTGTATTTTAAAGTACTTATTTGCTTTTAGGCTGTAGAAATTTATTATGTTTCCTTAATGCCACAAGACAGGGATGGAGAAACTTCCTGTATGACATTAAATGCACACATTGGTCCACACAAAATTTAGACTTGTTTAGTGAATTAAAAGCTAAAGTACATTTCAAACCTAATATAAATGATAAAATACATGTGTTTTAACCAGGCTGCTAACTGTCATTCTTAAAATATTGTCAAGCAGAGTTCTAGCTGGTGACATCTTCTATGAAACATAAGGCTAAGTAATTTAAGCCTCCACAGATGTTGCTTATCATTTAAGTTAATTTCAAATGGATTAAGAAACCTTTTCCATTTTTCTTTTTGAAAATGGAACAAAGTTTATTCCTTAAGAAATTAGACAATCAATGACTTTGTGAAATTTTTACTATACACCAGAAATACTGTTTTGCAAAGAATAAATGTGATTTATGGCAGAATACCATTAAAAGGACCCAACATACTGAATGGGATTTAATGTGTCCCAATGTCCCCAGTTCTTGGAAAAGCAAGTCTGTAAGATTTTCATCATTAAGAATTACCAGATTCCCTCAACATTCAGACATATAAGTCTCTCAGTAGAGTTAACTGCACCAACTAAACCGGGATTTAACAGAACTGACCTGCTACCGCACTCTTCCTCCCCCCTCAAAACTCTTTCCAGTCAATACTCAGTCCAGAACGGCAGACAACTTTCAACACAGGTACATTTTTCCAAAGCATTGTTTGAAGAAAATACCAGCTAACCAGCTGAAAGAAGATAGCTCCAAACATAAAATCCATTTTAAACAAAATTATTGAATTGTAGTGGAAACCAAGTCCCTATTAACAAATTTAACACTGGAAACAGGGTTACTGTTTACATCATTTATGTTTAACACTTGTTTCCCTCAACTATAGGGAAACATTGGTAGGCAGTGGAGGAAAGATCCATTGTCAATGACAACTGACAATGTTGGTGACAAGAGAAGTGAAGAAAAACCTACCCTAGGTTATCAAACCTTTATAAGGGCTGTAACATATACCCAGAAAAATGGACATCATTATCCCTTAAGAGAGGTAGTAACATAAGAGCTAGTGAGGAGGCACAGGATTTATTCATCTCTAGGTTGCTGCTTCACAGAGCTTGTTTATTTCTTGACTTGAAAACAGGTTCAAACATGACACACATTGCTTGTCTGCCTGTGCTATCATCATGAGCCACTGCAGCTAAATCCTACTGCCCTACAGAATGTGAAACAAATGTCACTAATCCCTTTTCTCTTGCAGTGCCTCTCCCTCCCAGGCCTTGTGCAAGAGTCTCCACAGGCCAGCTGAATCTCATTGTGCAACACTTGAATAGAAGGCATTATCCTCCTCTGAGCTACAGAGTTAATGCTCCTTGTACATCAGATTTAGCTAGGCTTCATTTACATTCTCTATTACCAAGGTGAGATGTCAATGCAACTCAGAATGTAACCAAAGATCACCTAACAGTAGGTAGTTATTCAGTGACCTCCTGCTTGGATCACATGAACCTACCACAGCATCATCCAGGTTATGCATGCAGGGGAATGTCTGAACTAACACTGAGCTCATTCACTGGTGAAATTCCTGGAATGGAGGAAGGAGGAAAAACAGATTTGGAACAAGACTTCCTGGGTTTTAAGAACATTTTCCATAACAGTGTAGTACATAATTTTGGTTGAGGACTGGTAAGACCTTGGCATTCAGCAAACCTTCCTTTTTAACTCTGCAATATAACTCTTGGCACTGAAGTACAGTATTCCAATTAAATGACTCCCAATGTGAGGACAGTGCAATAATCTATGGAATTGTCTTTGCTACCATCAAAATTAGCCTGCAACTGGTCCTTTCACAGTTAAGTATTAGTGCATTTTGAGATAATCAGTACCAGGAACATTAATTTCTAATGAAATTTTGTACTACCATTATCTAGACCAGAATTGAAGAACAGATTCTGCTGCTAATTTTGGCTAATCTGGATGTTTTTGTAATATCTGAAGATTTCTTTACCAAGTGAAGAAGATGTAATAAACCACAATGTTTTTTAAACAATTTTGACACAGAGCTGGAAGACCACTTTCTTACAGAGGTTCTGGGTGTAGGAAAGAGCCCTTGACTGAAAAATCAAAGCCAGTAAGTGAAAGAGTAAGTGAAAACTCCTACTGGTACCTGAGAAACTGCAGGAACTAATCAATAAATTAACTGGGCTGAAGATTCAAATGCAAGTACTTGAACTAATGATAATATAATATTTCCTTGGTTTAAGAGTTCAAGACTGTTTTGAAAGGGAAACAAAATGCTGTGAAAAGGTCAAAGAGACTCATGGGAAACATGTCTAGTTTTCTTTCCTGTCTCCTCCTTGTGTTAAGACCTGGTTATCTACATACCAGTTAAGGAACACAACTCTTTAACAATCTCCATGGAAAACAAGCGTTGTGAATAATTTCAGATGTAACATGAGAAAGCTTCCAAGCATCCAAAATATTTTTAGCAGTCTCCAGGTAAAAAAAAGTAGGAGTAAGAAGGTGCAGGTGTTGTGAAATGCAATTTGGTATTCTTCTGATTAACAAACAGTAGCAGAACACAAGATGCAAGGATCTTGGTCTGGGTTTTCCTGCTATAGCTGGAAAAGTGTATTCTGGAAATATTAGTCTAGTTGCCTGCTAATATACATATGAAGTACCACCCTCCTCTAAGCTCTCCAAAGGCCATTAGAGAATAACTTTAGAGAGTATTTTAAAAACACATCGCCCATGAATATTACAATCTATTTGACCAGATACTATTTGTTGTGAGGGAGTAAGCAGGGACAGGAAATCATTTTTAGATTGTGGCAAGTAAACTGATAAAAACCAAAATTTTAAAGTTTATATGATAAGCAAGTGGACAGAAAGAACCAATGTTCTCTCAAAAAATTTAATATCAATCTAAAGGAGGACAATTTTCTTCAAAATAAAATATCACATAATTTTACAGCATATTAGTTTAAAAGAAACTTATCTCCAACTGCTGCATTAATAAATCTATATGAATATAAATAATCTGATTTAATCACATCTGTCATTTCAAGTTACAGTTTAGCAATTACAAGCAAATATAAATTACTAAGCTAGAGTAATTTTTTGTCCTGGTCTGAATGTTGCACCAATCTGTACTTTTCTCTTCTTGGGATTCTGAAAATTATCATACCTGGAAACAAAAAAAAAAATTCTTATGGAATGTGGTTTTTGTGTCTGCCTCTTCAGATGCATATTAATGCACCA